ATCATCATATAGTTAGCTAGTATACTGTACTTTAAAATTAAAACCAGCATTTCTTTTTTTGTATAACATTTTATTTGTCTTTATTTCACAGCTAATTTCACCCCAGTGCAGGAACATGGGCATGTTCATGTAGATCTTTTAAAAAGTCTGGTAAACAGAAAGGTTTTTAGCCAAGTTAGCCAGACTTTACCAACCAGTGGACCGAGTTGCTACCTACCAACCAGTGAGTCAAGCTCCAGTGAGAACCCTTCTAATACAGACAGAGAAGAAAACAACAAATGAAACAACACTGTCATTCCATACGTTGCTGACACAGAAGACACCACATCCCTGTGCATTTCAAACCCAGCAACATCCTGAGACAGAAGCTGTATTTGGCAAACTACACAACAGTTCTACAAGCACATGACACAGCACAAGAAAAGACTCATCAATCCACCTGTATCTGACGGACAAGCAACACTGAAAAGAGCCTACCTGTGTTTGGCTGCACCGTGGAAGTCAAAACCCCCTGGCACTAAGAGTGTGAAACTGCAGGTGTGACAGTGACATGTTCACTGACTGTTTGAGCCCCAAGCTACATTTACAATCCTCAAGTGTTACGTGGAACTATTATTATATTAAGTTATTATTAGGATCATTAGGTGGTTACTCTTAAAGGACAAACCACCTGGCAGGAACAGCATTAGCAGTATTCACACACTCTATTCTTACTCCTCTTTTATGCTGTTTATGTTTCCATTTCTCTTCTGTTCTCTTTGACTGCTGCTGCAATGTTTCCCCAGAGTTCAACTTTTCACCTTGAATCAGAATGTTTTGATAGTCCCACCTTCATCCCCTTCAGTAGGATATTCAAGCTCCTGTCCTGACACTTCTTAACCAACACTTGCCACTCATCTTGACAAGCTGTTTACTTTAAAAATAGTCTCTATCCTAAGGCTGAGGTGACTGACAGGCATGAAGCCAAACAGGAGCTCCAGGAGTAAAATGGTAAACTGAGCCAATTTATGAACAAAATCACTTCACTGTATTTTAAGTGGGTTTGGCTTTTCAGTCTTCTTTGTCTTTCTGTTTGCAGAACTTCAAGATCATTTTATGAAATCCAAAACAAAATCAGTGATTTTCCTTTACAGGTGCAACAGCTTAAACATTTTATATAACATTACAAGAGCGCCATACTTATTGGCAGTGCTTATGCCAAGCAGCCAGCACTGCAGTCATTCCTCTATATACAAAGAGAGTGATTTTTATTGATAGTTGTTTGTCACTGGGTAGGGTAGTATATGTTCCCTTAGGTTTTGCTTGCATTTGTGATAAGCAATTAACAAGCAGCTAACAAAACAAAAGCCTTAATGACAGAGTTGAGAAAGAAAACAAATGCAGATGCTTCAGAACAGCACTGGCAAAGTTCAAATGTTTGTTAGTGGAAGATGGAAGCATTTGTGTCTCATAGTAACAGAAGATACTTCAATACTTGGGCCAGTGTATGGATAATGTATGGCACATATCATTGTATCACTGCTGTACTCTACAGGTTTGTTCTTCTCCATAGCATTCAAACTAAATCTTTTCAACTAAGTCTTCTGACAAATGAGGGACTCAGATCAGACCGACTCTTACCATGCTAACCGTCAGAGTTAAACTTTGGCAGCAATCAACTGCGGATGCATCTCGTTAGCACGGTTCACTGGAGGCCTGTGCTACTTCAAACACCTTCAAGCTGCTGCTGCTGCTGCTGCTATTGCTGAGCTTGCTGCCTGCTGCTGGCTATAAATAGAAACCAATCTGCAACCCCACCTAATGAGCACAATCCACTTCAGACCTGTCAACAACCAGCCACTGTGTGTGTGTGTGTGCGCGCGCACGCGCCTGTGTGTGAGGATACAGCTGACCACGCTGTTTTGATCTTGGGTCTAAAATCACTGCTCTGCCCAGGAGTATGTGCATGTGTGAGTGAAAATGTGGGTGTGTACATACAGTATGTGTGCATTACGTTTTTGCTATCTTTTGTTGCTAAATATAGAAAAAGTAATTTTCCAAGTTGCCTTGGCAGGATGACAGCTGCACGACAAGGAAATTGCCCTCTCTCTTTATCTTTATCTTAAGACCCCTTTCTTTCTTTCTTTCTTCTCTTTTCTCAGTTTTTTCTTCTCCATCTTGCTTCTCACCTTGCTAAGTCTATAAATACACTGACACTGATGTCAAATTTTAGATTGGTGCCTCAAGTGTACTGAACTTGCTTTCTCAGGTTTATTTTTGCATTACAACTGATGGAAAGAAAAAACTTTGGACAGAACTGTAAACTAGGTTAGTCAGCTCACAGTTGTATGAAATTAGGGAAACCTATGTTTCTAGATTAAAAGAGTTTGAGAGAAGATGGGTTTTCCTTGTTTGTCTGATTAAAAAAGAAACATGCTTAGGTTCCAAGATATTTCCCTCATTATTTGTCCCATGTTGGCTTTTTTAATGATAGCTCATCTGCTCTCTTCTCATTCGGTGACAGCTAACTGCCATCGCTGGCTGGTGGTTGAAAGCCTTCTTTCTCTCTTTCTGCCCTTTTCAATGAATTGTGTTACAAACCTCCTCTAATTAGTGCAAACATGGCTCAATAGCTACAGATCAATGGTGCTCAGCCGCCTACTGGGAGTGACGCCCTGGGGACAGATCCACACATCTGTCACACAAGGGAATATGACACAACAGAAGGACTCTCAGCCCATGTGATGAATGCTGTCAACGTTTCAAGGGAAAAGAAAATTATAAAGTCCACTGTACAAAGAGATTGGTTCTAAAATGCTATGTACATGGCAAGGGGACAGTCTGCTTTCTTTGCTTTTCTGCTTTTGACACTTAATGTGGTAATCTGTAAGACTGTGGTGGGTGTGGAGTGGTAATCTGTAAGACTGTGGTGGGTGTGGAGTGGTGTGTCATTCGTATGATCTGTCGGTTGGTTCACCACTTTGGTTCTAGTGGAATATCTCAGCCACTGGTGGATGGATTACCATGAAAACTGGAGCGCATATACTTGGTTCCCAGCGGATGATTTCTAATTGCTTTGGTGATCCAGACCCTTCTTCTGCCAAAACCATCAGCTTCAACAGACACTGTAGTCCAGAGTTAAATGACTACTGGACAGATTGCAATGAAAACTGGTACAGACATTAACATTTCCACAACTATGAAATGTAGTACTTTGGTGACTGGCTGGCTTTGAATCCAGTGCCATCATCCTCAAAATTTAGATTTAACCAGTACAGGTATGACCAGTTACTTGCAAAACTAATTACATTCCCATCAGCCTGAGCTGTATTTTCTGCTAATAAGTGAAGGTTAGCATTGTTAGCCTGTTAGCATACACCGACTGTAGTTCACAGCAGCCTTACAGAGACACTAGCATGGTTTTAGGCTCTCAGTTTTGATTCAGAAAACATCAAGATCACAATTAAACTGCATCAAAGTGGATTTTAACAATAGAATTAAATACATAACGTTTATTTACAAAATAATATTGCAGGATATCATTCAGACTGATGCTGTTGGTAGTTGTAATGTATATACTGCAGAGCGTACATGCACTATACTGTACATGCATTCATAATGAACACCTATAATATAGTCCACTCTCTCAGTGTGCTGAATTAAGCACCCTCTCAACAGCTGTGGATTTCACCCTTGAGTTATTATTAGAATATATAGCAATAGGTTTGTTTTAGTCAATGGACATTGGAAAATATGCTCTGAAGCGCACTAGTGCCACAAACGACTGCCACAACTCATGTTAATTTGCTGTAATTGTCATCTTCATCTGTTATTTTCCTGCTGTGAGTTTGAACAATCAGTTTGTACTGATAAACAAAGCGCAGACACAAACATGCTGTATAAAACATACACAATGTCTAAACGAGGTCCTGCACTAATGTTTTCACAGTGACAATTTTAAGATTTGAGAAGTTCCAGATTGATATACTGTCTGAATATCAGTAGACTCAAAGGTCTGCCTACTAATACTAATCTAGTAATCGAAGATTGAAATGCACTGTACATTTTGTCCTGCATTCACCGGGTTTTTAGTGGAGCCGCAGTGGCCATATGATAACCTGGAGGATGAAGAAGAACCGAACTGAGCAAAAGATGTGGCATGAGATTCTTTAACATTTCCACTATGTGGTCTCATTAACTGGGCTTTGGTTCAGAGGGGGACTCTCCTCCTGTCAAAACAAATCTTTGTGTCACTCCCAACAGGAACTACTGGGAAAATAGCTGCTGAGTATTTACTGCCAGCTGACACTGTTATCACATTATAGCGAGAAGTTGACCAGCAGGCCACACACACACACGCACATGCACAGTAAGTGCTCACTATTAAGTGTCACAGATAATGCTAAAGAAATACTGTAGCATTTTATTAGAAGAGGCATGAATATTGTATGAATATAACATATTTTGCGTGTTTTTTTAAGCTAGAGATCTTTATGTTGTGGTTTATTTTGAGTCGGTTATATATTTAAGATGAACACACACTTTTCCTTAAAGATAAGAAAATAAAGCACTAGGAAAACTTTATCAGCGTCTTCATGGTAGGAGGGCCCCCAAGTGTTTTGGTCAAAGACACACTGACAAAGATGGACGCGCTTGCTACAGAGCATCTGACCAGATAATCTCCAGGTGTGCAGGAAGGGCACTTTTATCCACCAGAATAAACTTACTTTCTTCAAATTTGGCACAAATGTCCACTTGGATTCAAATATGAACTGATCAAAGGTTAAGGTCTCTGACCTAATATCTGTCACATTCTTGTGAATTTAACTGGTTCGCTACGGCAGCAAAGCAGTCATTTTATTTGTCTTCTGTACCAGTTAGTGCGCATCATAAAAGCATAAAGTCACTCTGAGCAGAGACTCCTATCCATGCAGGACATCATAAGTCCTTGATGTGGGCAAACGGCATTTTCATGCATTAGTCTATGTCTCTACAGAATACAAGACAATGGGAGTAATTACCTTGAGTTTGATGTCCTCAGATTGTCTGGCAGTTTTCAGCAATGAAAGCCTGAAATAAACAAAAAAGAAAAAAAAAGCTGAATCAACCATAAGCGCCACACACTGAAGCAGGGGCTGGTCCTTGCCTGACACACAACAGCGAGTGGAGGACAATTAAAAGAGAGGGTCCCTGATTGGTGCATTTGTCTACATCAACGAGAGCCAAGCAGGAAACGAAGCAGCTAGGCAGGCTTTACACGGAGGAACAAAGCAGGAAGACACAATCACAGTGATATCACATGAAAAAAATAACCGTGGTCATGAGCAAATGCATTTTCTCAAAACAGATGTAGCTCATATGTGAGCAGCTTAACAGTACCCAGTGACATTTAGCCAAACAGCCTGATTATGTTCCCCGTTAGGAACATATCAGTTCAAGCTAAGAAAAGTTGGCCATTAGTTGGCCTCCGAGGCATGCTGGGAAGCTCTGAGAAGGAAAAGCAAATGCATAATTCTGACTGTTCCCTTCGTAAACAAGCACAATCAGACTGCTCAGTGTGAGATTGCAGCAGCAATGAGCAACTCTCCAGCATTAAATCAATGTAATGGGAGCACTGTGACATGGAGTATGAGGGCAAAAGGCTGGAAACACTTCACTTGTCTTGTTGTACTGTACATTAGTTGGGATAAAGAATGCTGATGAGGCTAAAATGATTCTTTAAAGTCAGAGATTTGTCTTAGGGTCGATTTAGCTTTCAAAAATGTTAGTTCTAAGTGTTGTGAAAGCATAAAAGTGCCATGATGCCATCTGTGGTGCTGATTCTAAAGCTAGTGAATAGAAAACCCCTGGTAAGGACAAACAATCATAAGTATACAGTAGTGGTCTAATGTCTTTCAACTGAATAGCCTTTCTTGGATGCAGCTCGAAGCATTCTGTGTAGACCTTTTATATGTTTTGTGCTTTGTCAAAGCTTGTGCACTTTATCTAGTTAAAGGAAAAACATGCTTGCTGATGAATACATGCAGTTGAAACATTTAAAAATGCTGAAACATTGAAACTGTTGGATTTCAAAGTACAAACCTGAAATGGCAACACGGTGCAGCAGTTAGAGCATCATTCCAAAGCCCCATTCAGGCATTATTCATTTCTCTAGAGGGGTGGGTTGATTAAACAATTATCTGTGCTGGGCAGTGATTTTAATCCCTTGCAAAATGTATATGTGCATAATTCACCTTCACCTGGGATAATAATTACAGCAGCACTTACTGTCTTTTGGTAAGTTTGTTGATCATTCTGTGATTTAAATCACAGGCTATGATCTAAAGCTTCACCTTAAGGGAAATCACACCACAGTTCACTCCCAAAGCCCACAAACGTCCTATTTGTAATAGGCGAAATGTTCAAACTGAGGGTTGTCATAAACAGTTTTTGAGTGCACATGTTTGTAGACCTCTGTTCAAAGTTGAGGATTTAGTCACACACATGATCATCCTGAAGGTTAGCCTTGGAACAGAACACCTTCTGGGTGAGGGATGGGTCTGTAATGGAACCACTGATCAGCCATCAAACAGCAACCATCAGTCAGGCCATTCATCACTTTGACTGAGTCGAAGTAAACACTGAGGTTATTTGTCTTAACTGGACTTAGATATGAGCTCGACATGCTGAATACTAGAGCAAACACAAGATGAATGGAGAGGAACCACGTAGACATGTACACACAGATAAACACGCTCTGACACAAACACACAAATACACACTTGTTCTCCAGGCCCTTTGTGTGTACTACTTGCTGTACTACTGCTCACATGGACAGATAATCTGTTACAGTTACTGCCACTGTATTATGACTTTGATAGATCTTTGAGTATAACTCTCATCAGCGAAGACGTCAGTGTGTAGCTGTGTGTGTCCATGTTGTTTATAAAGACCAACTCTATACATTTTAGAGTAAGATACTTTTGAAATAAGAAGATATTTTGCCCTGGCCACACTTCTTTGAAACAGTGTGTAAGGCACTAAGATTTAGCTTCAGAGTCAAGGTTAGAATTTCTCCATTTAACATGTGTACACATTGTGCATAGTAATACACAGAAAATAAAAACATCTGTGGCCAAAACTAAGTGTTTTCTCTGTGAGGTCACAACAATTTCTCACAGGAACAAAAGCACAACACCACACACAGCACACGCACACTTGGATCTGACCTCTCTTGAAAAGGATAAACACAACAAAATGTTGTGCTGCTATAATGACAAAGCCCGCACTGTGCGAGGAGACACACAGAGAATTTTCTCAGCAGGAGGGCAAACAACAGAGACTGTGGCTGAGCTGTGGGGCGGCTTTTCCCTTAAGGTGAAGCTGTAGATCATAGCCTGTTATCCACGGTCTAATGGACACTCTGCTCCTTCCCAAACCACCAGCTCAGATATCACAGCCATCTGAGTATTTTCAAAAACAATCTTACCATCTAAGACTCGACAGCAACCACATCAATAAATAAAAATGATACCTCCATAATTTTTCTTTTACCTTCAAGTCGTGGGGAAGGACTTTGAGGAGCTCTGCTTTAGGTTTATCTGTATGCTCTTATGAGGTTCTAATTATATAAATCGCTGACCTGTTTTCAAACAAAGGTCAGCCCTGAGCTGGTTTGACAACACCACTTTAGCCCATTATTTATCTCCAGCACAGTGTGAAATGTGAACATTATAAATTGCTCTTAGGATTGTTTTGATAGGTACAACTGAGAGGCTGTAATTGATTCTAGAAATGTGCTTTAACTGCTATGAAACATACTGTAAATAGAAACAATAAATGTTTGGTCATCTGAGATCTTGTCTGAATCAAGAGCAAATCTGAGGAGGAAGAGAGTGTTTGTCAGTCGGACTGCTCAGCAGAGAAGAATGAGAGGCATTCAGGTCAGACCATGCTTTGATTACTGAATGGAAAAAATGATGATCTGACTAATAGAAGACTACGTGATTGCAGTTCCGAAATATATTTTTTGGTTTCTTCAGCCATATTAAAGTTTACTTGCTGTAAACGTACACCTTCTATGTTCCCTCTCGGCCCACATGTGCCCAGTGGCAAGACGTTCTATAATTCGTGAAAAATTGCTGTGCTGCAATATTTTGGGCACCCGACTTTAATTTACAACAGGTTTATAAATATCAGCCTTAGTCTGTCAAAATGCCTAAAATACAGAAGAATCAGATCAAATTTTACCCAGACAATATAATCATACTAACTGCTTGTAATTGCCACTATTTATTTTACATGTTGCTTATGAGCTATTCAGATTTTCAGGTTATGTGCACAAGTTTCCAGTGCGCTCAGCAGACACAGCCGTCTCAACAAATAAAATGAGGGAAGCTTGAGTTAGCAAACTCAGACTAAAGGAGGGGGCGCTAAACTACTGAAGAGGTGCAAAAACTCACAGAAATACTAAAAGTAAAATGTTTGCAAAAAACTGACAGACGATATTGTCATCGGTGCTGCACTTTGCTTGTGCATTTTTATCATTTCTGTGAGACAAAATGAGGGGTTTGGGACTGAGGAGGGCTTTCATCATGACACTTTGTTCTTTTCACAGTGGGTTTAAAAGCATTATACAAACTTTGACACCGGACACAATCAGCCTGGCTGCTGTGCCTTGATTACATCTTTGTTTATGTGGCGTATCTGCTGTGTGGAACATACAAAATCTAAAACAGACTTTCACCCAGCATGAAAAAAACTGACCTTACATTATTTTAATGCAGAAATATTTGTGTGAACCCAGCATGTGGCCCAACCATACTAAAGTTAAATTTTATTTACATAATTTAAATGAAATATCACAAATTTAGCTAAAGCAGCTTTATAATCTGTACAGATACAACGTCCTCTGTCCTAAGATCTTCAGATCATAAAAGGAAAAACCCTTTAAAGGGGAAAAATGGTGTGGTGTGCTGCACTTAACTTGCACTTTTACTGAGAACAAAGAGCCTGCTTGTAAAGAATATTCAAACATAGGTTATTGTAAGTGTTAGAAGAATGGTTATTGCTGCCTTTTGCTTATTCTTGCTAAAAAGCAGGGCCTCTACTAATTGCTGCTAGCTGTACTGTCCATAGGTACTGTAGCTGGGGCTTAATGATGGCAGGCATTAGCCCAGAGTCCCTTAAAGTGTTTGTAAAAACAAACAAACAAACAAACGAGAAAGAAGGTAAAGTCAAAATCCTGTGACTTCACTGTAAACACATGAGACAAGTTTGAAGTCAGCGATAGGAGACCTCCCACAGACCCAAACATCACATAGACGCCGACTGATGACTCCCACTGTGTCCAACTCCTAAATTGCCGAATCCCCACAGAGCTATGGGTTTGTCTCATTCATCAGTGTGCTACCAACACGCACACACATCCTTGTTTTTGTCACTTACCCGATCCCTACATAGACTTATATTCATTTCCAGGAGACTTACCCTAACCCAGAACTGCCACTTGCCTAACACTTAACCCTAACCCTAACACTTAACCCTAACCCTAACACTGTTTGCTCTAACCTTACACACCATCATTTTCATAACATTTGAGAAACTATGTTGTGGAGACCAGCCTCTGGTTCCCAAAAGTGACTTCTAGTCCCCGCAAAGATAGTAAGTCATGGATTTTGGGCAGCTCATGTATAGAAAAACAAGGCCACACAGACACAACTGGTTTTACGTTACTTCTCAGAGCCTTCCACTGGCTTTCATCTCTCAGCCTGAACCCTCCTTGTACCCTACCTGGGCTTTGACTTGAAGATTTCACGACTTGCCAAGATCTCCTCTTTGATGAATATCTAATTGATGTGTGGATTTATCAAGGAGGCACAGATCTGGCAACAGATGGAGGAGGCCTTTTCTTCCTTGTGTGCAAAGAGCAAATCAAATGAGAGATTATAGTATTATATTACACTACATTACACTACATTAAGGGTAAAATATGTCTGTTTAAAATGTATTTAAACATTTTTAACCCATGCTGCTAACATTTTAGAATGCAGTTTTCATTTATAGCTTTGGATCACCTATCCTATTTATCC